TTGTTTCTTTTTTCTTTTTTTTAAACGCGCTGTTTTTTATTTTCTTGTTTCTGTTTTTTATTTTTTTGCTTCTTGTTTCTTGTTTCTTTTGTTTTTTTTTGAAAAACTTATTGAAAAAAGTATTTTAAAGGAAAAAAACAAACAAATAATAATAATAATATATATATATATATATATATATATATATATATATATATATATATATATATATATATATATATATATATATATATATATATATGTATATATATATATATATATATGTACGCTCCTCTCTAAAATTTCTACATCCTCAGAGCATACTTCGTGTCCAGTTCGTTCTGCATGTTCCTTTATAGCCGACTCTGCAATCTGCGGTCTTGTTCCCCACGGTTTATGTTCAGCCCAACGGGTTTCCATCATCGTTTACTTTCTCCAATGTAAAGGAAATTACATGTTTTACACTTGAATTTGTAAACGATGCCTTTGACTTGAGTTTCTGATGGTCTAGCTGTCTTTCGGTTTTTTGAATATTCCGCCCAATGTTAATTGTTAGTGGCTTATACGCTGTTCTGATACTGGCACCAGTCAAGATTCGGTTGACTCTCTCCGAAATGCCTTTGACATATGGGATACATGCATAACCTTTGGGCTCAGCAACAGAACTGAGTTGGTTCGTTCAATCTTTCGGGTTTGCTTGCAACACTGTTCATAAAAGCAGATATGTAACCATTTACATATATATATATATATATATATATATATATATATATATATATATATATATATATATATATATATATATATATATATATATATATATATATATATATATATATATATATATATATATATATATAATCAGTCAACCAGTTATTCAGTTGCATGGCAAAGCCGGGCCCAGGTAGAAGAAAAGAGTTTCCTATAAGCCTGTGTGTATTTTTTATGCCTCAATGCATAGATGAAGGCATTAGCAATGGAATTTATACCAACCAACTCATTAGCGATCAGACGTGCAATGTGTGTCAAACATGGATCATAGCGTGAAATACGAAGCATATTCATGACAATATATGGCACAAAACAACATGTCAAAACTCCAACGATAATGGCAAATGTCTTTATAACTTTCAATTCCTTTGCAAGATGACGTAACCAAGTTATGTTTTGCTCAGACTGTTGTTGTTCTGACTTTTGTTGTTCCGACTTTACTTGTTCTGACTTTACTTGTTCTGACTGTACTGCTTGTTCGCACTGTACTTGTTCAGACTGTACTTGTTCAGACTGTGGTTGTTCAGACTTTTGTTGCTCGAACTGACACTGTACTTGTTCCGACTGTAGTTGCTCCGACTGTTGTTGCTCGCACTGACTCTGTACTTGTTCCGACTGTACTTGTTCAGACTGTCCTTGTTCAGACTGTTGTTGCTCGCACTGACTCTGTACTTGTTCCGACTGTACTTGTTCAGACTGTCCTTGTTCAGACTGTTGTTGCTCGCACTGACTCTGTACTTGTTCCGACTGTACTTGTTCAGACTGTCCTTGTTCAGACTGTTGTTTCTCGCACTGACTCTGTACTTGATCAGACTGTACTTGATCAGACTGTTCTTGCTCGCACTGACACTGTATTTGTTCAGACTGTACTTGTTCAGACTGTATTTGTTCAGACTGTATTTGTTTAGACTGTTGTTGCTCGCACTGTACTTGTTCAGACTGTACTAGTTGACGCTGTAACACGATGTTTGATGCCATCCTTTGTCTTTGCTCTTTGACAATCTTGAATATTTTGTAATTCAGGATTGCTATGACACAAATGAGAACTAACTGCAGGATGATTATTAACCATACGACAGGTAGTGGATAATGACATTTACCTGGCTTGCTTGTTTTCTTGGATTCCATATAAATAAATATGGGTGGAATCTGAACCAATGCAGCTAACCAGATACATCTGAGAAGTATCCTAGTTCTCCGTGTTGTCACGATCAGTGGATATTTCAGTGGCTTCGTTATATACAGATATTTGTCGATTGTGATGGATAGTAGCATCATTATGGAAAGGAATAAAGAAACAAAAATTGTGGTACGCTTTATCTTGCAAAACAGTAGATCAACTTTCACTTCTGAATGAAAAAACAAAACAATCTTTGTTGGATAAAATGCTAAACAGACGAGAAGGTCAGCCAAGGCAAGATGTGTAGTCAAGTTAATCAACCTCGGAGTCTTGTCACGATTCAGAAAAATGTTGTAAATAATAACTGCAATGTTTCCCAACACACCAAGATATAAGAAGATGAAATGAAATACCACTAAGATATGACGGCGATCGTAGTCAGGTATGCTTGAGTTACACATTCTTGTTCCCTGTTCTTCGTTTCAAAACTGTCCGTTGCGTGTAGGAAACATCTGGTAATACATCAAACATTACGTTGCTTTTAAAACAAAGCGACTCTTGTAGATAAGTGACTGGAGTGACGTGACATTTTAGCGCAATTTAGGCATTATTCATTTTAAAAATTATTTTTAACTTGAAATTGTTTTAGAGATATCACTAGAAGGCAATTATTTTTTTTTCTCAAGATGGCTGATGTGTCATAACGCATTAGAAGGCAATTATTTTTTTTTTTTTTTTTATAAAGATGGCTGATGTGTCATAACATAGTTGTTTTAATATAACAATGTTCAAAATTGGAAATTTAGTCCTTGAGAAATTTCAGCAAATGTTCCTGAAAATAATCAGTAAAATATTAATTTTATTATTGCAAATAAAAAGCCATGTTTAAAGTCAACTATAGTTTTTGCCGTGTTTACCATAAAGTTCAGTATACTGATAGAAAAGTTTGAGAAACCCTTTTAAAAAGGAAAAACTGGTGAACAAGATCCTGGCTACATTAAAATATGATACAGGAGTTTCCAGTCCCAGGATAGGTAATTCTAGTGCAAAACAAATGAAAAAAATATGTCAAACCCGACATAATGAGTCTATCATATCGCCTGTATTCGAAAAGCACACTCACAGCGAGAAGCACTCAAGTGGGGTTGAAGTGTGAGTGGAGGGAGAGTGGATTGTCAGATAATTAGTTGCTAAGCACAAGATGTCCTTGAGAGTAAAAGGAATGATTACAAAATGATTAAACAAGAAAATAGCGCTTGCATGGAAACGTTAACAGAAGCCAAGTTGAATTCTCTGGCGGGTGTAAGTAAGCGTGCTTATAAACAAATAAAGAAATGCTGGGAAAATATTACGTCTCGAGCTAAGAAATCTATTGCCAAACAAAAGAGAGAAGCTAAACTAACTGGTGCATGGTGGTACGGCCTCATCGGAAAGAGACGAAGGAGCAGAAGTAGTTGTTTCAATAATTCCAGATCAAATAACAGCCTGGATGAATGAGCGCATTTTAATGTCTACTGTGGCGTGACAAGTTGTTTTCATATACGCCTACTTGCCCACAACTCATCATTGTTTTTAGTATTAGAAAAAAGAAAATTTTTACAGATTATGGAAAACAGCATTAACGACCATCACCATCACAACAGCTACAGGATCTCCAAATGTCGCCATAAGATTATAATAAGGCATGAAACTCATGTGTTGATTACCGAAAACAACTGAAAGCCGTATATTCTATTGTTAATTTGTAGATTCTGGATGGCATTGGAAATGATTACAACTAGAAAGTATAATAGATACAAATAAAAAAATATTCACAAAAGTCAGAAGATAATGATGCATATGAATCATTGAAGGCCAATTCTAGCGGAAGGTTCGCAACGGCAGCTGCACAAACTCGTTGTTTGGACATGCAGGAAAAACAACACACACTGTCACTGGAAATCTAGATTCTGCATGAGATTAGGAAAAAACATTCAACCTTTTGGAAGAACATAAGAGGAAGATGGAGGTCCTTGATGCGGAGTTTGAATGGAGTTCTATAAAACAATGCAGGATTAATACACATGAAGAAGCTCCGAAGCGTTTTACACGACAAAGGAAATTAATCAATAGCCTTTTAGAGGAGTAAAATTGAATATCACACCGAATACTTCATTTTTGTCCGGTTTGGTAGGTATAGTGGAGTGTCTTTGATACATAATGCATTAAGGCATTATTACAGAGTATACGTACCATAAACCGAGAGGTTGGACTTATGCAGGCAAAAACCCGTAATCAGCCACCATGCAGCTGTTAGGCAGTCATCATGCAGTTGTTCCGTAGCCAGTGTGCTAATGAGAGGCGTCTCTGCCTGTCATTTATGATGTTTTCTGGAGGATGACTATGGAGGATGGCTGGTCATTTCCCATTGTTTAACTGCCTCACACTCAAGTAACCACAAAGACTCACAGATGTTGCCCGTGAGTAAAAAATGCTCCCTCACTCGCTATGAAAACGGCATGTAAGATTAATAATAATGCTCGAAATCCCCCATGAAGAGAGAAGAGTGACAGTGGAATAGGGCTTTCTTGTTCAGACTGTAGCAAAAACAACTGAAAGCCGAAAACAATGCATACTACACGACAAAGGAAATAAGTCAATAGCCTTTTAGAGGGGTAAAGCAGTTCAACGGTCCACGGATTTAATCCTCAAATTTTTATTAAATGTTAATATGTTGGGTAACTGACTGTGCTATAATTAATTCAGCACACCATTTTACACGAATAACCTCAACTTTACTCTTCTGGATACAGCCGGAATTTTAAAGAATATAATCAAACGAAATTCAAAAAAATGAAGTCCATGAGGCTAATAGTGTGTAATGGTAAGCTTCTGGGCAGTGGTACTGCAAATGTTCTTTATAACATCCAGTTTTTACAATCGTTTAATTTGAAGGTGTTCGTTTGCCCGCCCTCGTTGCATTGCCGTCCTCTAATCTTGAGATTATATTTTCTCAAGCTCTCTGAATTTTCAATTTTCCGGAGATTGTCTGTTATATGTTACACATAATAATGTATCATCACCCGCTAATTCTACAACATTATTTAGAATTTTGTGAATACATTTTGCACTCCGTTTCAATTCTAGTGAAATAGGTACATATCCTTGAACGGCCATGCAGGATATTATATAATATATATACACAATGTCTTCCGTTCTGATTATGATGCACAACCGATTTTACAATACACCAGTGTCGGATAAAGAATTCGTTCTCAGATTTTGTCGGTTTTCAACACGATCTAAAATTAATAAAGAAATAAACACGAATAAATACTTGTACCATTTCATAGGCAAACTAATTTATACCAGCAGTCGTGGTTGTAACGTGAAAGTGGCAACCAACCAAGTGGGATGGTTCCGAATGATCCCGAAAGAAAGGGATTGAAATTATTTAAATAAATTTATGTATGTTTAGGGATTAGCAATTGCCCTGGGGACCAAGCTAACGCTTAAATTCACTAAGCAGGGTTACTTAGCTTCACCATAGTTAATAGAGGAGATGGTTTGGAAACTCGTTAGCATTACAATAAAATGACATTAAACCTCATTATCTATGTTGTTCAGGTTTATGCAAAAATGTGGTCTTTCATCGTCACGTGCGTATTGTATTTTTCTCAAGTCAACCAATAGGAATGTTCATATGTCCTATTGTTAAATGTCCTATTGTTAAAGTCATGGATGGGCAATAGGAAAAAAACGTTGCTATTGGCTGGTTGAGCAAAAATACAATACGCACGTGACGATGAAAGACCACATTTTTGCATAAACCTGAACAAAAACATAGATAGTGAGGTTTATTGTAATGCTAATGAGTTTCCAAACCATCTTCTCTATTAACTATGGCTTCACTTATTGGTCATGATTGTTTACGTGACCTGTGCACAACCAGTCATAACGGTTCCATGCATACACACGTAAAAACGCACAAGTTGTAACAAGTCTGCAAACAAGTTGTTACAAATCTGTTCACAAGCCGTCAACAAGTTGTGTTCGCACTGCTTGTTCCCAGTTGTTGTAACAAGTTTGGAACAAGCTATTAACAAGTTGAAACAAGCTTGATGGCATTATCAGACTTGTAGCAAAGTTGTTCTAACAAGTCTGATACAGTCATGATATAACAAGGATGTTACAAGGTTGATGACACAAGGTTGTAACAATATTGTTATATCATGGCTGTATCGGACTTGTTGGAACAACCTTGCAACAAGTCTGATAATATCAACAAGATTGTTACATGCACAAATTGTTAACAGTTTGTTCTAAACTTGTTGACAACTTGGGACAAGCAGTGCGAACACAACTTGTTGGCAGACTTGTTACAAGATGTGAGATTTTTGCGTGTGTATGTGGCAACATAACTGAACGGAAACAAAATCTCGCCAAGGGACCAGTAGGCAACATCAGCTATTCATTTTGCTTTCAGGTCGTGACAGTTGGTGGCCAGATGTGCAAAGTGCAATATTTAAAAAAAAACATTGCAGGAAGAAATCTTGGAGAAAAAGTTTGATGAACATATCGTTTCGCCTGGACAAGAAATTGCTCTCCCTTTCTAGGGTTTGACCACCCACCTCCACTCAGCTGCAACACACGCCGGCTTTTAGCCCATTTATAGTTGTATCATTTACACGATACTAGACTGTCACTCTGGCGTATGAAAAAGGCTTCTCGCGCAGGGGCGTAGGAAGCATCAAAAGATTGGGGGCACCGGCTAAAAAATGTTTCCGGAAATTTTGGCGACGGGGCGGCTTGGGAGGAAGAAGAAAAATTTTCCCGTCGTACCATACCGGAATTGCACGTTTTTGACCAAATTTTTTTTAAAAACATCGAAATTTCCAAACAAAAAAGACACCTTTGATGTTAATTTAGTATTTACAGCGATATTAGCGTGTACAAAAGGGACACTTTTCATCACAATAAAGGGCACTTTTGGTCCTTTGAAAAATTGGGGGGGGGGGGGCGCACGTGCCCCCTGTGCCCCCCGGTTCCTACGCCCCTGTTCTGGCGCCAGTCACGCCACTATTCCTGTTCATCAATTGTAGGCTAAATTTGAAGCATTTAATTGGGTACTTCATACGCCAGGATAAGAATCGCATACAAGTCGTCGTATCGTGTAGATGGGCCTTTAGTTGTTCTCTTACTTTATTCCTTGGGCGAAAAATGTATCTGCCCAATCATAATTCCCTTAAAGGACAATGGCAACAATGTTATTGTCAAATTTTGACTGAAAGCAACAATGAGCTGTCCACCATCTTGGATTAAGTCTTAAACCTCATTAATTAACTATCGTTTTGATAACGTCAGTTTAGCAGTTAGCCTTACTGTAAAATTACTTCTAAGTTACTGAGTAACAAGTTCTTTAAAATCTTTTTATTCAATTCGAAATAGCAACCATAATCGACTTTCGGGTTCATATTGATCACTGGCTGTCAAGAAAAAAAAATTAGAGCCGCGTATCTAATTCAATAATCCAAGATGGCGGAAAGCTCATTGCTTTGAGTCAAAATATTTCAAAAATCAAGCAAGAAATAAAAAATCTGTAACAACATTTTATTTTAAACGTTCTTTCAAATAAGACAATAAGACTTTCTGTTGCCATTGAGCTTTAAGCTCAGGGCATTGTTTGGACCCAAACGGGTAAGAATAGATGAATAAGTCTGGGTATACTTACACAAGGACTCGCATGTTTTCTTATCTCTTCTAAGTCGCATTGATGGCGGACATTTACAACTTCTTCTGAATCCTGAATTAGGACTGATCAAACAGATATGACTACAGCCGCCATTAT